AGAGAGCGAGAGAGAGAAAGAACTCTACCTATAGCAATGTAATATTTGTTAATATAATTGCAGCAAAACTACCATCAGATACACCCCCTAAGCCGAAAAGACCACCTAAACCCAAGAAGGTAGAAATAATAAACTCTGATTCAGAATCAGAATGTGGCATTCCAAAGAAGGCCGTTGCTCCAAAAGGTAAGAATTTTGGTGTTGCAACTCTCCAGTTGAGTTGGCAATATCAATAAAGGTGTTTCAGGATCTTATCTTCATCTCACAACAAAGTACCATTAGTTGATTTATATCTGCAGGAAAGCAGAGTATGAAGCCAGTTGTATTTTTTGGTGTAATATTTATATAATATCCAGTAGCAAATATTCTGTGGGCAATTTCAAAGGACAAACTTAAAATCATACAATATAAAGTTTAAAAGGACAGCAGGAAGAACAACAGCATATAATCAGTATAATCAGTGGTTGAGAATAGCATAAGTACCATAGATCTGAAACATGCTAAAGTGTAGATAAGACAAAAAATGCTATGAAAATAGCAAGGGCCTCACTATGTGCTGCTAAATATACAATAATGTAGAAAGGCCATGCAAGCCTCTTTAGGTTGTTCCCTAACCATGGTGCCAGCATTCAAAAACCAGTGTAGTAATAGATAGCCATCAGACTGTGTTAGGTGAAGGTTCCAGTCTACGGGTCAGGAAGGGTAAGTATGAGAGGAAGCAGTACATCATGTAACCTGCTGCAGGTCATTTAAGTGTTTAGACACTAATAGCAGCACCTTGAATTTAGTCCAGAAACTGACTAGAAGTGGCATGATATAATCATATTAACAATCTTGCTACCTTATTTTGGATCAGCCCAAGTTTGAACACCATCATCAAATGAATAACCAAGTGATCACCAGATTGTTGATAAGTGTAGAATTTGAGGGTGACTGCAGAATTGGTTATCACAGCATAATCTAATTCTTGCAAAAAATACTGCAACATGAGTGCTAGGACAGGATTGTAAGTACCACAGTGTTAGTTCCATGTTTTGCCCTATACCAGGCTTGTTCAACCTGCGGCCCAGGTTGGCTCATAATGCGGCCCAGTGGCATTTTTTATTTTTAAAGAAATTCCAAAATTTCAAATTACACTGCCGGCGCATGTCACAATGGTGGGGGGAAGAGAGGGAAGGAAGGAAGGAGTGGGAGGGGAGGAGACAGGGCGGCTGCGTGACTGCATTGCGCCATCCCCGTCAATAGGTGGACCCCCTCCTGGCCCCATAAAGCCACCGGAGTCGAAGCTGGCAGCCTCTGCTGTCTGAGATCCCAGCTGCTGGTAAACACACTTGGAGCGGGACTGCGGAGGACGGCTAGGGCTGCCCCCACCCATGCGGCCCAAACCAAATTTATGTGCGGCCCAAACCAAATTTTCATCTTCTAATGTGGCCCAGGGAAGGTGAAAGGTTGGACACCCCTGCCCTATACCATTAGAGGGTGGGGTTGAGGAATAGGTTGATTAGGCTTTCAGATACTTGAGGCTGTTTTTATTTCAAGTTTGAAAGGTGAACAGCACCTTGCTTGGACATATTTCGATTATTTTAAAACAGAAACCACCCAGAGTTTTGGTGGCTTTATCTTATAGTACTTGGAAGTTTTCATGTTAGTTTTAAAGTCAGTTGGCAGCTCCCCATCTAAAGTATTGAACCAGGCCACCAGAGCGTGGATCACTCTGGATTGACTATCCGTGCTCAGAAATAGCCACATCTGGTATAGCACTATTGACTCATAGTGAGCAGGCTGGATCTGCAGTCCTCAAGCTGCATACCTGCTTGTTTGGATGGAGTGAAACCCTTCTTAAAAATGAATGTCATACCTCCACAACTCATCCATCTCACCTCCTATGAGAAAAGATGTTCTGAACAGCTGAGGTTTCCTATACTTCCAGTAATAATGAGGGCTAGATCCAAAGAGGCTCTTCCTAATGATAGACGTAGCCCTTTCAGACAGCATTTTGTTGTGTAGTTGACACTGAATATCACTCAGCTGAACTTGACAGTACTTTGTATTCTCTGGATTAGGTCTGATCAAGTTCCCTGCCATGCGACGGGCACTGATGCCAAACATTTACTGTAATATGTGGGGTGGCTTGCATATTGCTCCTTTGAAAAAAATTATGTTCTCAAGCTGAGGAAGCAGTTCACTTGTCTTGCCCTGTACAGAAAGCAGAATTTCTCCACGCTACCAGCATAAAAATCTGAGACGCTGCTTTATGAATGAAGAAAGGTTATTGTAAACATAAGAATGTGTGAACTGCAGTGCTTGGGAAAATCACTTTTCTGAACTGGCCATGCCAGCTGTTGAGAATATGATCCCAGCCTAAGCTGCAAAAGTAAAGCAGGGCACTGAATCTGCAGACCGACTTGTTCACCTCTTTTTTTCTTTTTGCTGTGGAGGGAGCATTGGTAAGCAGGTGTGTCTGTCATAATAAAATTAGTTTACAAATGGTGAATAAAAATAGGACACTGTCAGGGATTTCAGCAGGTCGTGGATTGTATAGTAATGATGTTTGTTAATGTGTTGGTGAGGGAGGAACTTTTCATACAGCTATTGGTTGCCCTAGCAGTTAATGGAATTCTGTGAAATGAAACAGAATTGATGTTGGTAAAAGACACAGAGTTGTTACATCAGTAACATTCACTTTTATTTTTCATTAATATCAAGAATTGGGGAGTGGAAATTTGGGTTTGACATTTGTAGAGGAAATGAAAAAGGTTAACATGCAGCATTTTTTCTAATACTCAGTCAAAACTGAGTTGTTTATATTGTGATTGTTGCAGAGAATTTTAAATTTTAATAGAGTTCATGATTACTGCCTGCAAATGACTATAATGTGTGTGAAAAATAATTTATGTGTCAGTTAATTACATTTTGAAAATTCAGCATTCTCTTATAACCATGAAATAACTTTGAGATAAATCTGCCTGATATTTCAAGTGATGCAACATTTTATTAATTTTTTAGTAGGAAAGGGCAGGGGTGCAAAGAAAAGGAAAGCCTCTGGTTCTGAAAATGAAGGTGAATATAACCCTGGGAAGAAAACACCAAAATCTACAGCAAGCAAGGTAATTTAATAATTTGCTAGTTGTACTTCCTTGTTACTGCTGTTATTGCAATAGTATGAAAAACAATATTCGGTCCAGCACACTCTTAGATAGGTGGGCTGTTAAGATTTGTTAGTCTGTTCGCAGGCATGACTTTAAGTAAAAAAATGTTTAAAATCATTATTGGTTTTATAAAACAGTTGAAGCAGCTTTAGAACAGGAGTTCATATATGGGATCATTTGTATTGATATTGATAATTTTTCCAAATGTTTCTTTAAAAGCAGAAACTGAAGAAACCCTCCTTTGACCAAGATTCAGATGCAGACATCTTCCCCTCCGACTTTGCCTCTGAAACAGCCTCTAGGCCAAGGACAGGTCGGGCTAGAAAAGAAGTGAAATATTTTGCAGAGTCTGATGATGATGATGATTTTGCTATGTTTTAATTAAGTGCCCAACGAGCACACAAACTTCCAACAAATATCTTATGTTGTCCTTTTGTCCCCTTCTGTCGCAGACTTTTTGTACATTTGACTTATTTTATGTGATGATGTAATTGATGTTTTTTATTATTGTGTGTAGGCATTTTAACATTTTGTTCTTACACCTACAGTTTTATGCCCTTTTTTACTCATTGAAATGTCATGTATTTGTCTGACCGGCTTGTAGAAATGTTCTAGAAAGCTGTGCAAAAGCACACATTTTAACTGTCACGGTTGCAAACTGCAAACCTGCTTTTTGAAATGAAGTTTAAACATTAAAAATATAAAACTGTTTTCTGTGTGTGGAGAATTGGATTAAAGAAACATTTTTACGCAGGGCTAAAATAAATATATTTTATTCTTTGCCAGGAGATTCCATGGAAAAAGGTAAACAGTATATGAACATAGAAAGCATTGTTAAACAATCTCAATGTACAAACAGAGCCAGTGAAAGTACATCACAGACTTGCTAGAATATATAAAAAAAAATCCACTAGTGCTTTTAAATGAAACCTAAGAAACTGACACTTTAAAAAATTGTAACCACTCTACCACATTTTCCACTCTGTTTTATGGTGATTAACAAAGTTATTGAGGTGCGTTCTTACCTCTGCTTTTGGGTATTCTAGTGACAGCCCTTTAGTACCAGACAGAAGGCCTAGGGCTGAAGGGCAGTTTCTCCAGAATTGTTTTTCACTAGTGTCACCAACTCAGAGGTAGCGAGTATGCCTGGTCATTAGCCCATGAAGCTTCCCTAACCACTTGTGAACAAATAAACAAAAATCACTGGTAACACTGGAAAGTGTTTCTGCCTTGAAGGCTATAACTGAAGTAAAAATTTAGGATTAATTTTTAAATGTAGAGGTCAGTCAAGTAACAACCTCCTTCATAAATTTTAAAGTGACATTAACAGTGAAACAGATTACATCCAAATAACTGATCTGGCAGTTACACTTACACAGAAGTTCCTTCTGCTAGTGCAGTGAATTTCTTTGTTTCTTCTTGCTGGAAAATAACTGAAATACAAACTGAGGCCGTAAAAAACAGCAATGACTAGTTTTCATCCTAACTGAATTAGAATGTCTTTCTTAGAATGGACATGTGACTAGTCCATTTTACAAGCATGATTTCTGAGTCATTTAATGTATGCAACAAAAAAAGGAAAGCACCAAACATCCAGTATAGAAAGTACAGGCCCATATATCTGTATGTACAAAGTCATCAGAAATGATACAACCATAATTTTAACCTCTTGTTTGAGATTTCTTTTTTCACCTTGCAGTCTTGGACATTCATAAGTGAAGCTTAACTAGTTTTTCAATTCGTGAAATAGCTGGTGTGATATTTCAAAAGTTGGATACTTTCTAGTTAAGCTGCAAGGTGTGTGTGTGTATAACATATATATCTATGTCTTTCACAGACACATATAGAAATGACTTGGTCCTTGTTGCATTTTAGTGTATGTGTAAGTCCAGAAAACAAGCAGCAGTAAAGCCCATTCTTGCATGTCGTCCCTGTACATAAAGTTTTGGGAATGTAGCTGGAACGTATCTTATTGCACCAGTGGGGATTGTGTTACATGACTATTATCCACTGAGCTTGGGGAGATACTAGGACTGTGCTCTGTTGTCGTCCCAGGTGAACTTGGTGTCAGTGGTTCATGTCCTTCAGAGTTCTCCAACATTTCCTGGATGAGAGGCGGCATAGATCCAGGAATTTCCATTTTGAGGGTAATAACACGTTCAGCACCTTAAAAAAAGATTTAAAGTGTACAACTTGCAGAGTTACTTTTGCCTCCGGTAGAACAGACAACTTTGAAAAGACAGAGAATATATATAATCAGAAAACTACATCCTTTGCTTGTTATTTGGAGGACTCTACACAGCCAGCACTATGCTTCTGTAATGAAGAATACTTAAGGTGCTCAAGGAGCAACTTTACCTGTTCCTTAAGAACTGTTAAAAAAGGAAATACCTGTCATACCATGTAGACATGTTGCTCAAGTTTGGAACAACAGACCATATACTATGGTGAATATTTTTAAAAGTGAAAGTTTGTGCAAATGTTTACGGAATCCACCTTTTGTAGTCTTCAGGCACATATCTGAATTGGACAACTATCCACTTGCTTGTTTGGATGGCCAAGGAGTTACAGAAGCAAGGTAGCACTTGACTAATTAAATAAATAGGCCTTAAATTAACATTTTTAGAACTGCCCTCTTATTCTTAAAATGGTCTCTTCAGTGAATAGAGTTGACCTCCAACTTACAATAGCCTGCTTTATCACCAGTGCTTTTATAACCACTCCAGTATTACTCAGTGCTCCGCACTACTGTCCAAGCAGCACACTGACATCAGGGACTAGCAATGAAAGCAGAATGTTGATAAGATAGTGGAACAGAAGAGAAGGAGTAAGGAAGATAGTGGAAGATGGATGGGAAAATAGATAGGATGGCGGAGGGAAACCAAAGGAGCAAGTAAAACAGAGGATGAAGAGAGAGAAGAGATAAATTATTTTCGGTTCCACGGTGTGGGAGCTTTGCCCAGAATCAAACGGGCATCAACACCGGCCGCTGGTGCACAGCCCCAGTGGAAATCTGCGCAAGCAAGTGCACAGCTTACAGACGTTACATGTGGAAGTGTTCTGCTGTAAATATACCAAAGTTACACTTCTATTCTTACTACATTTATTTACTTAAGATTATTCAGTGGATATAATCAAGAATTGTAGGATTCAAAGAATGACAGTTGTAACCCTTACAATGTCTAGTGCTCATTTCTTCGCTTGACAATGAGCTCAATGGGACTGGAAAAAATCAGTCGCCAGTCAATCGTGGGTGGGAAATGAGGAAAATTTCCATCACACATGAACCCTTACTTCCTAAGCATTACTGAAATGGAGAAGGTTCCCCTACCTAGCATATCTTCAGATACTATAAATCCGATACTATAAATCCATGGCTTCCTTCAGGATGCCCCATTGAGAACACCAGCACCAGCAAGTGGCCTCGGCTGATACACTGCATCTCTCTGCTATACTCTAGCACTTCCACTTCACTCAACAATCTCAAAGTAGCCTTCAGGAAGGAATTGGATTGCTCTTTCTGTTACCAGAAATCACATACTCACCTTGTACTGTACATATTTGGGACACAAACAATATATCTTTCTGACATGAACAGATATTTTTACCAACAATTCACCCCTGCTGGAAAGTACTTCCCACTGAGTTCAGTGGGACTTTACAAGTCTGCTCAGAAAACCCACTGAACTGAGCATGTGTGTACAGAATTGTTGATTGAATGAATAATTTTATTACAGTCAAATACCAGCACTGTTGATTTTAGGACCAAGGCTTTAGTAACTGTCATTTAATAAAAAGGGAAGATACTATAATAATAAAAAGACATGGAGGAGCTGAATTCTAGCCAATTTCTCATGCCATTGTTTGGAGCCTCATGGCACAGTGGTTAAACTGCTGTACTACAGCCCAAACTGTGCTCACGACCTGGGGTTCAGTCCAAAGTAGCCAGCTAAACGTTGACTCAGCCTTCTGTCTTTCCAAGGTTGGTAAAATGAGTACAGTACCTAGCTTGCTGGGGGGGGGAAGCAATGTGTAGCCTGCATAATTGTAAACCACCTAGAGAGTGCTGTAAGTGCTATGGGGTAGTATATAAGCAGCACGCTTTGCTTTGCACAGTACATGACTGATATGTTTTATTTTTGCTTAACTAAGCAAATTCAAAAGGTAGCAACATGGGAATTATCATGAAATATTGCCAATTACTGGGCACATTTCACCTAAATCTTTCTGCTTTAAAAGTACTACACCCATTACATATGAGTACAGAAAATCTGATGGAGTGATTTTCTCAACCACAACTCTTTGAAAAAACACTGCTTGTTGTGGCTATAATGTATGGACAAATGAGGCTGTATTGAAGAAAATTAGCTAAATTGCAATGATGAAATGTTTGTCACAGAATTACTGATATTATTTCTCCTTGTATACTAGTTTGTTTTTATCCACTTAGTGTCTTCTCCAAGGAGCTGTTGTACAAGAACAACTCATAAGAGGCTGGTAGAGGCCTATGAAGATACACTCTGGGCACATAAAGCTGCTGTGATCATTCTCAGTGGCATCCTAATTGTTCAGAATTATTTCTCAACAGCTGTGACAAGTAACTTTTCCAAAGCTACTGGTGCAGCAAGGAAGAGCCAAGAATTGGGTTATTTTGAAATTCATTTACCGTATTTTTCGCACCATAAGACACACTTTTCCCCCACAAAACAGGGGGGTGGAAAGTCTGCATCTTATGGAGCAAAGAAAACAGATTATATTTTCCTGTTTTCTTCTCCTAAAAAATTGGTGCGTCTTATGGAAAGGTGCATCTTATGGAGCGAAAAATACAGTACTTACACTGAAAACAGATTAATATTTTAATGAAAAATAGAATTTCCCATGGTAGCTGTATTCATCTTAAATGGTCATGACACTCTTCATGTATTTTACTGCAATAAATTAACGAGTTTTATTTGGCATAAGCTTTTGTGGAGTGCAATCTATAAAAGCATAAGCGAAATACAATGTGGCAGGCTTTTAGGGTGGCACAGCATTCTTTGTGGGATTGGCCTTCACTTAGCACCAAAATATATCATTGCTGTCATTATCATACCATTATTGTTGCTATTGCTACTATGGTGATAGCAACTCCTAATGCTTAGATCAATTAACCATCCCTGGGTTTTTTTTTCTCTTGTGAGGAGGTTTTGCTAATATTATATACTATCTTTAAATATTGTATGTTTTATTCTAGACATCCAGAGTATGTTTTAAAGAAAAAAAAAGGTTTGAAAAGTGAATATCATCATCTTGGCTGTGCCCTAAAGCAGGGGTTCTAAAGCTGGTCACATTTTTCACAATTCACAATCAATTTTCCATTCTGGTGACCCAACATTTCATTTGGTGATGATGCTGGCAATGTCTCACCAGCAGTCTCAAAGTGCCTACAGAGTTTTAATTGGAAAGTGTAAATAAAATATGGCAAAACATAAGCCATTGAACTATGGAATGTAAACAGCCAGAATTCTTTTAGAGGGCTGAACAGGATGGTTGCACACTGACAATTTAGGCATAGGTCCAGTGTCCAAAAAAACAAACAAACCCCCAAACCAACACAAAACTAGTAACTCTTACTTCAGAAGGAGGATATGCTTTTAAAGAGATTCTGTTGAGGTTCTATATTTTCAAGACTATGCTATCTTCTATATATTCTACAATTATACATCAATACCATCAGTTTCTGTATAATTATATCCAGGACAAATAATTGTATGACATATGTCATCTTTGGACATGAGTGACAGAAGGATTCTAGATAAGCCAGATTTTGGAATCATCCAACCAATAAGAGTCCTGCAAATGGGCTCTCACTCTTTGGTTATTTCAAGGAATAACCTTCTCTTACTAATCTTGTTTGTGCAGCCAAAAAAAGCAAAAACTCTGTATGGAGGGTGCTTTGACAGGCTAGCCTACCTTTTGCACTGATACTACGTAGATCTGTGATTTTCATTAAGATCTTTGGGAACATATGAGGTTTGTTGGGTCTTCTTTTTCTGATGTATATTTTGAGGGCCTCTAACAATGGCTCCTGTAGTTCATCTACTTTTGCTGGTTCTTCAAGGTCCTGGCGGTCTGCACAAAATAGATAAATGTTACACCTTTGGGTTAAAATATATTTTTAAGATACAACTTAATTTTTTAAAAGATAAAACCAGGCCGTGAGATAGCTCCTTTTTTACCCTTTTTTCCCTTCCTTTTTAAAAGATGGCTGGATAGCCCAGTGAATGGAGCACCTGGCTGAGGAGCCAGAGCTTAGAACTTTGATTCTCCACTGTGCCTCATGGGAAAACAGCCAGTCTGTGTAGGTTTGGACAAGATGCACAGTCCCACAGGGCCACCAGAAGAAAGGAATGGTAAATGTCTGAGTTCTCTACAGAAAACCCTGGAAAGAGCTGCTGTAGGTTGGAATTGATTTGATGGCATGGAAAGATTGCTATTCCTCTCTCTTGATTTCCATGTTTCAGTTCCAACTTGTTATAAGTGCAAAATGTAGTTAATTGTTTCTCAGTAAACTGACAGGGCTGGAAGTGACAAAACACTTCCCTTCCTTCCTCTTTCTTTCCAAGGACAACTGAATTGCCAGGAGTAATGAATATCTCTCAGGAGACCAATAATGAAGCATTACTTGGATAATTTTTAATTTGTGCAATAATAACTATATAGTATTATTCAGTGTTTGTGGTACTTTAACTTATATAGCCTGATTCATTTATTCCTCAATGCCAGAGAAATACTATTGCCTCCTTGTGTCAGCAGGTGTCAGCAAAATACTGAAGAAAAACAAGAGCTATTCATATTTATTCCTAATTTTTTTAAAAAAACATGTTAGGTCTGAAAAGTGTCATTAGTATTTCCTTCAAAACATTTCCATCATATTTTTCCTGAAGCAACATATGGGGCCAATTCAGAAAAGCTGTGTTCAAACTGAACACCTGGATGAATGTTAAAGGAAAGATTTTTTTAAAAAAATACGAATATAAATTTTTCACTGTTGCGTAGGATTTTATAACACTACTGTACTCAAAACTACTCGTATAAGATTATCAATATTTTAACATGTTGTGTGGATATTAGGAACGATTCCAAAACCCCTTGGCACAACCATGGTCCAGAAACTGAGAGCTGCATTAAAAAAATCCAAAATACTGTCCAATTGTTCTATCATCAGTGAAATTAGCCACACTAGATATACTGGCTTCTCATGGAGGCTGCCATTGGTTTTTCTCAGAACAATCATTTTAGTGAAGCTACATAATTCTGTAAGTTGGCTAGATATATCAATGGTTGAGATATCTAGCTGCAGAGCCAGAGTTTGGAAGTTTGATTCTCCACAGTGCCTCCTGTGATTATGGCCAGCCTGTGTAGTGTTGGGCAAGCTGTAGAGTCTCAGGAAGCCCCCAGAGGAAGGGAATTGTAAACTACTTCTGAGTATTCTCTACCTGGAATACCCCGAAAGGATCAGAATTGACTTGACAGCATATCATCATTATTTAGCATCATTATGTAGATATTTTTGGGGGGATCACATACCTCCACAGGACAGCAGCAACCACTAATTTTTGTCGAGAATGCCCTATATCACAGGCCAGCAAAATGCAGTCATCTTGCTTCCTGAGGTCTCTGATGTATTTTTTTTTCTCCCAGTTTATCCTATGATCCTCCAGAGACCCTGATCTCTGGAGGATGACAGGGCAATCTAATTTATCAGTTTCCAAGATCCATATCGGCAATGATACTGTCATTCCTTCATGTTACTTGGATTAGAATAGATAACCGTTAGGTTTCCCCTCCAACTCTAGAATTCTCTGATTCTCTAAAACTTGGGAACTACCATCCAGAACTCAGTTGGTGGAACACATTTGTGAATGAGATGTAACACAAATGGAAGTCACTTTTCAGAATTTACTATTAAGTGAAAAAATGCTTGCTTATGTGCCAGTACTACATCCACACAATAAAAATATGGCCTGGAGGATCAGCATATAGAATTTTAAAACCTTATGACTAATTAGCAATACATTTTGTGAATGTGGGATTTGACTTAAATAGAATAGATTTAAGTCATGATTTAAATCACTACCCAGAAAATCTCAATTGAAAGATGTAATCTCCCTTCCAAAGTGTACTCTTGCTTTCTATAATTCTAATATGTGTTTTTCAGAACACATATTTCCCCCACAAAATGAATCTAGTTCCTATAATCTTCTGTTCAGTGACATGTCCGGTGTCTGAAAGTGTGTTATCGGGGAAAGAGACTTTGAAAAATACGAATTGTGAACAAACTATGTATTAGAATCCAGGGTGAAACATACCATTCAACAGTCTCCTGATGCCCTGTTGTGTACTTCTGTGGGGAGCCAGTGGAACTGCTGTGAGGAGGATGGAAGGAAACTCAGCCAGTTGTACACACCTAAATGTGAGTCCTATTAGCTGCACTTACAGTGCCTGACAACTCTCTCTTGTACTAATTTCTGTATGTCAAAAGCCATCAGGAAAGTGGTCCCATTCGTCTCACTGCAAATCCCAACTGTATGCCATTCACACATACCTCCACAGATTAAGCAGATGGCACTAAGCAGGCCAGTTTCTGTATCATCCATTTCCAGGGGCAGGAGCTGATTGGCAAAAGTGAACACAAGATCTGTTAGGGGACCAAATCCAGCATTATGCATCTGAGTTCGGTTCAGTGTAAGGCCGTCAGAAAATGTCATTGTGTCTTGTTCAGGGGTATATCTTGTGCAAATTCTCAGGATCTGTGGGAACAAGAAAATTTAACTTTCATTTGGTGAGTTTTTTTAAAAATAAAATGAAGTATTCAGGTATTTCTGGATTTTTCTGTATGGTTTCACCCTGTTGTGTACTTCTGTGGGGAGCCAGTGGAACTGCTGTGAGGAGGATGGAAGGAAACTCAGCCAGTTGTACACACCTAAATGTGAGTCCTATTAGCTGCACTTACAGTGCCTGACAACTCTCTCTTGTACTAATTTCTGTATGTCAAAAGCCATCAGGAAAGTGGTCCCATTCGTCTCACTGCAAATCCCAACTGTATGCCATTCACACATACCTCCACAGATTAAGCAGATGGCACTAAGCAGGCCAGTTTCTGTATCATCCATTTCCAGGGGCAGGAGCTGATTGGCAAAAGTGAACACAAGATCTGTTAGGGGACCAAATCCAGCATTATGCATCTGAGTTCGGTTCAGTGTAAGGCCGTCAGAAAATGTCATTGTGTCTTGTTCAGGGGTATATCTTGTGCAAATTCTCAGGATCTGTGGGAACAAGAAAATGTAACTTTCATTTGGTGAGTTTTTTTAAATAAAATGAAGTATTCAGGTATTTCTGGATTTTTCTCTACGGTTTCAATTAGTAGGCTGAAGTACATGTGACACTTTACCTCCACAGGAATTCTGCAATTATTGGGTTGCTATTTAGCTCAAGACTGGAGAACTTGTGGTTCACTAGATGTTCTTGGAGTGCATTTCCAATCAATACAGTATAACCAATAATAAAGTGCCCCCAATCCAGGGAGTTGCAACCCCACCACATTTTGGAAGGTTGCATTAATTGCCCATCCCTACAGTTAAAACACTTCTCCCACTCCCTGATCTCAGCATGGATGCTGAACTCAACTCAGACAAGGCAGCGCACAGATAATCCTAAGGGAGTTCTGTTATCCCCCTTGTCCTTTTTTTCCCTTCAAAATGATGTAAAACCTAGAACATTTATGAAAAATGACAATTTTTGACCCCCAGTGAGATGGACTTGTAAATACTGCTCATTATCCTCGGGCTGGTATGATAGTATTGTGCACTCATCATTCTGCTTTCCTGGAAGAGGCAGAGGCACCCTAATATATTCCAGGTGTTCCTGGACTCTTACTCTCATAAGCACCAGAAACCATGGCCAATAGTTAGGGATTATGTTGCCTATCCCATCCTAAAGGTATGACAAAATTAAAGAAGTGGGATGATGGGCTGTTTATATTTAAACCAGACTTTAAAGACAGTCGAATTTGTATCAGTTTTCTTCTGAGATTTGCCCAAGAAGATTGGTGATGGGTAAACATAGCATATTCCTCTGCAAAAAAATTTTTTTCTTGGCTCTACCTTTGCTATAATAATTAACTGTAGCCTGGTTTTACTGGCTGGGTGGGTGGGTGGTCCTCACTAAGAATGGAAAGATCCAAAAGCCAAGTCTAGTTTCTAGGCACACCTTTGAGTCAGAAGAAAAGGTATATCAAATCTGAAGCTGGCATAGTTAAAAGAGGGACCATTTCTGTTGTCACTGTGGGTCTGCCAAATGAATCAGGCTCTCAACTTGTGTGGAGAGCATCACAAAGGTGTCAGGATTTTGTTCCCTTAAGTGAACAAGGGGTTAAATTTAATATTGTAGTAAAGAATGCAAAGTCATTCCTGTAGGGGCAAGCCAAACGGATGATGAATAATAGCATACAGATGGTACAAGCTTAGGTAATGCTTGTTAAACATGAATCAGCTGCCATGTGTGCAGTGATAGGCTGCTCTGACTATATAAGCAAGTGTATGGGAGCAGCATTCTTGCCACTCAGTTGTGATTCTGGCGGTCATTTGCTTTACTTGAATGTGAATATAATGTTGCTCTGAGAAGTCTATACATACACAACTATGTATATGTTGCCATGTATTTATGTCTAACCAAGCCTAATATATTATGAAATAAGTTGTATCATAGCGTTCTCTGTGCATTTTCTTACATCTGTGTCTTTACTCTGCTAATGAAGGGGAGGATTTGAAGCAGCTAGGCTCTGTGTAACTTGTTGGCTTTAGCTACAAGGTTTGTTTTCCCCAAACAGAGTGCTCTTATAAACTTCATATCCAATCTGACTCCAAGCCTTTGGAGAGGCAATAGCCATGTAAAGCCTCTAGAGTTGGCCCCATGACAACATACTTAAAAGAGAGACAGTTTCTGTTGTCACTATGGGTCCGCCAAATGAATCAGGCTCTCAATTTGTGTGGAGACCATCACAAAGGAACATGGGAATTATCATCCAAAACATCTGACAGGCTCTAATCTGTAGCTCTAAATTATCATCCAAAACATCTGACAGGCTCTGCTCTGCTCTGTAGCTCTAGTACAGTGGTACTTCAACTTAAGAACTTAATCTGTATTGGGACTGTGTTCTTAAGTCAAAGCACCATTTCCCATAGGAATGCACTGAAAACCATTTAATCTGTATCTGCTGTTTTTCGTTCTTAAATTGAAGCATTAGTTCCCATAGGAACTAATCAAAGCCAGTTAATCCGTATCTACCACGAGGGGGGAATTTTAATAATGCAAAGCCAGTTAATCCGTATCTACCATGGGGGGGGGGGATTTTAATTTTTTTAATTTTTTTCTTTTTTTGACCTAAGGTGAACTTAGGTTAAAAAAATGGCCGGAAAGGTGTTTTTTTCTCTTTTTTTGGTTCCTAGGTTGAGGCTCCATTCTCAAGTCGAATTTTTTCTTTTTTTGACCTAAGGTGAACTTTGGTTTTTAAAAAAAGGGCTGGAAATGTGGTTTTTTTCCCCTCTTATTTTGGTTCCTACGTTGAGGCTCCATTCTCAAGTCGAAGGGAACGGAGCCGTTCTTAACTCAAATTGTTCTTATGTAGGGATGTTCTCAAGTCGACGTACCACTGTACAGTGGTGGCGAATCTTTCTGATCCCGAGTGCCCAAACTGAAATGTTCTCAAGTCGAGGTACCACTGTACAGTGGTGGCGAATCTTTTTGATCCCGAGTGCCCAAACTGAAAAAAAGAAACCAACCCAGCAGGTGGTGGCAGCGGAAGTGGTGGTGGAAGGGATAATCCCGGGCATGGAGGTGCCTCCAGACCCCACTCTGGATGCGCCTCCAGTCATGCCCAACCCCGCCACTGCCGATAGTTCAGCCGTACCACTGCTGCCAGCGCCAGCTGCTCCACATCCTGGTCCGTCGCCTGTCAGGGCACTAGCACTGCAGCTGCCTCCTCAGGTCTGGCTGCTGGGGGTAGCAATCCAGTGACTTATGGCTCGCGTGTCCAAGGGAGGGCTCTGCATGCCATCTGTGGCATGTGTGCCATAGGTTCGCCATCGCTGCTCTAGTACATTGGGCTAGAGAGCAGGAAACAATGGAGTACATGGGAGGAACGTGATTCTTCATCAGAGCTACTCTAACCCCATGGTTATCCTGAAGCCAAAAATGCTACAAACAACTGCCTGTGGCTTGTATGGCACCTATTGGCTATCTATGCTTGGCAGAAGGAGAAAGCAAATTGCAGCCAGCAAACTGCATGCTGCTGCTCTTTCCTTGCTCACAAACCCCATCATTCCTATATGTTTCACTCAGAATTCCCAGTCATATCCTCTAGGTGGCACAACTGCTATTCTGCCACATTTCCTGGACTTCTTTTCTACAAAGTGAGGATGGTTTCCCATCCACCCACTCCTATAGCAGAACGTACTGTATGGGGTGGGGGAAGAAAGCTCCCCAAGCTTAAAACAGGCCCAGGCCTCCTGAAAATTGGGCAGAATTGCAAAGAGTACCCTGGAGGGTGTCACTGGCCATTCTGGGTTTTAAGAAGATATGTGGGATGGGGAGCTAATAGCTTGGGCATGCCGAGGGCAGCCCCAAGACCTCTGGAAATTGTCCACGGCAGCTTTATCAGCACACCAGAACTAAAATAGCTTCACTGAGTGTTCAAAGAAGACGTCTAGGTTCAAAGCAGTGGTGGCATGAATTTTAGACAGCACTGTCAGCTTAGATTTGTGATGGATGTGGCAACAACTGTTCTGGGTGTTTTAATGTGAGGAAGCTGCACCAGTCCAAAAGACAGCAGGGGAGGGACTGGAGTCAGATTTTATAGAGCTGGTCGATAAGCAATAAAGACACCCCCACATCTCCACACACATACATACAGAGTTTCACAACATACTTTTCTATAGTATTACCTTTGTACAGACCACTAAAAATCAAACATTTAGCCAAGCTTTCGTGAATCAAGTCACTTCCTCAGGCATGCCAGGTGAGCTCAGAGCTAGTTTCAACCAGTTTGGTGGGATGTTTTAATACTTCACCCACAGTACCATCTGGTTGGAATTTTACACTAAGCCTTCAGGATATTAGTGATACCACAACATTAGTGATATCCTTGGGTTAAAAAAAAACTTATCAAAGAGGCTGTGGAATAAATGCAGTCTACTACTTTGATATCAGATCTTGCCTTTTATTATGGTGTGATTCAAGCAGCAGTCTTACAGTCATTTGCCTGAGACCAAGTCCCAATGATCACAATGATCACTCCATTTTCAAACACAGAGAACGTCTGCAATAATTAGTTATTTTGCCTCTACCTTGAAAGGCAAACTAACTGTTATCTTGGTCTATCTATCAAGTTGTGTCTTCATTCTGTTTCTTGAGATTTCACTGGCATTCTTGTTCCTCCCAATTACTATTTTCTGCTTCCTGCTCTGAAATTTGTACACCATTTCCCCCCAATATGTACAAATTCTGGTACTCATTTTTATTAATGTGTCCATTTTTATGTATTTTCCCATAAACTAAAACCCTGTTTGCAAGTACAGTATTGTTAAAAAATGCACTTTGCAGCCTTGGGAAATGTGGCATGATTTAATGCCAAGATCTTTCTGCTCATTCTGACTCGTTAAAATCTTTGATTTAATTGGTTTTATATTAAACATGCTAACATTCATAGGGCTAATGTAAGCATAGTTGCATGTTAATATCCTGCAACTGTGTCTGTTTCTGTTGGCAACATATAACCAGATTTGACAATAGCAAGGGCTAACCATGAGTATAACTGTACATTCGGATTTCTTTTGCTCATTTTAGTGACCATTGCCACTGTATAAGGTTATAATGCATGAAACATCTGTCCTGCTGACTGCATACCAAGGATTCACTCAATATTCTGTCACTACTGGAATGATTGTTCAACATAGTGAGGGCTGAAGCAATCCCTGAAGCCACATTGAGCTTGGGAGGCACTCATTAAGTTGTGAGAATTTTCATTGTTTTTAAAATTATCTCGAAAGCTTAATGGAAGAGTAACAAACTCCCATCTTTTTTATTTTTGTTTTATTGACTGCTCATTGCTGACAAGAAGAGCAGGCGATTCTGACCATCGCCCTCCCCCCTCAGTTAAATCAGTTGAGTCTCAACCAGAGCAGGCCTACTAAATCAATGGAAAACTTATAAGTACTGATTTATTACACTAGTTTGCACAAACCATTCAATCTAGCCTCCTGAATCTTGACACTAAATAAATATGTACTCCTTTGTGTGTAGGGTACTGTAAGTTGAAGAATAATAGATCTTAGATGGCAACTAAGACTGCCCCCAACCTGGTGCACAAATATATCTTGATTCAGATAACTGGCTAAAATCCAGAACTAAATGAAGAGAAGACAAAACCAGGGAGGCATGAGAAACAGAATCCTTGAAAATTCTTGCCCAAAGCATCTTGATTCACATCTTCTTGGTTTTGACAGTCCTGATGGAAGGGACTACCTCACAAGACTAATTTTGTAAAGAAATGCACTGCAACTTGAAAGTATGCAGATGTTTCAGTCTTAGCAGATATTTTTGTAATAAATTGCACCCAAAGCATTTTAAACAGAGATGATTGCAATACACATAGTTGACAAAAGAATGCATAGCTGGAAATGCTTGATGCAGAGGGCTGACTAAAGTGGACAGCTCTGACTGTCCTCCACTGAAGTGGATGTCCCCTCTCTTCCATCACCTGAAATGGCCCACAAAGGGTTGGGCAACCTTGTTAAGGCAGGGTATCTTCCATCAGATAAATCTCTCTGGCCAAAGTGGATGCTGAAGCAAACATAATTTAGCCCTTGGAATACATAATCATGTAGCCATGATCAACTGGAAGGAGGCAAGCCTTCAAATACCCTGATTTCGATTACTAGCACTTTGAATTCGATTTGGAAACAGATGGGGAGACAATGACAGATCAAAACAGGGCTCTCCATCAGCCCTCTAGCACCTTTACAAAGAATGTTTACAAAGTTCTTCCTTTCACTTGAAGAACTTAAACAGCTCATTACTATTGGCTTATTTCCCTGTCTGCAGTTTGTTGATTATGCCATACAAACCCTCTGGTCCGACTGGTCTCTCCCCTGAAAAGCCTTAGAAAATAACCAAAATCAAGCTGTCTCCTGTGGCTACTTTCCTTGTGAGTTGTCAGGAGAAGAGGTAAGCCAGATCACTGGCTTTGGATATTAGGATAAACAAACCACAGATAGAAAAACAAGTAAATGACAATGAGCAGTTGATGTTTTCCATGAAGAGGACTGGGCAAAACCCATCCCTCCATAGTTTTCTCCTTGCCAAGGCAGGGCTCTTGAGTGTTATGGTGAAGTCCAAACACATCCAACGTATGTGACCAGCCAAACCATCTATTTAAACAGAAAGCTGGGGCCAATCCTCAATACATGTTTTTCCAAAGTTATAGAGGATGGTCTTAAAGCAAGAGAAATAAAAATGATTGTGTGGGGTAACTGACATGTGTTCCTGGAAAATAACCAGCTGGAAACAGAAGGCAGGCTTCTTGACAATGGAGAGCTGGACAGAAATTAAACTTTGTAAACCTTCGGTGAACTGTTTTCAAATGACAACACAACTACAGCCACAAATAACAACATTATTTTAACCATTTGTTAAGTCAATCTTTCAGCCACCATTCAGCTCTTTTTTCCTAACTCTGTGGTGAAACATACTCAGGACAATGTTATATTTTATAAATTACACAATGTCTTTCTGGGATAAAAAAAACTTAACTGTGTCTTATTACAGCACTAGCGATGGCAGGCATGCAACTGGTAATAAATGGCTCTGCCTTATGGGGAGAGTACATACAATAATAATAAGACAGGTCAGTATGAATGAAAACCCACAAGGAAAAAGGGACAAGGAGAGGTGAATCCTGGGAACTGAATGCTAGCCTCCACTCTCCCTCTCATTCTTCTGTGGCACACTACTCTTCTCCTCATCAACCATACATCACTGTTACACAGGAGGGACCACTCATGACAGCAGAGACAAAATGGGACAAAAGAACAGCTAATATCCCCCTCTTTAGAATTCCATTTGAAGTTCCATGAGTTTATGGAATTCTATGATTAATGACTTTAGTGGGAAATCTTTCTGGACAACTCTAAGCCAAGTCAAACATAATGTGTATTTCTGAGGAAAAAGCCACCCAACAAGGGGCTCCAAGGGACAAAGGAAGAAACAGACAATTTTTAGGCATCTTTAAGCTCTTAGTGGTCAGGAATACAAGCATTTTTAACCTCCTCCCTTGCACAATTCCCTTGATTATAAAGAAATAGTTAATCATTTACAGGTCATGTTTGACATGAGCTTCCTTGAGGATTAAAAAAAGACCAGATTTACGGTAACAGCCTCTGTTTGTCTGTGTGTTCTTGCACTTTGAAATCAGTAAGTAAAGATTCTGTATCAAGATCATGCAAATGTTGAATAGAAAAAAATATATTATTCAGTGTGCATAAAACCTGCATATTTATTTGCACCTATTTGCTTACTTGCATGATTGTTTGCTTCTTTTAACAACAGGAGATAAGGAACTATATAGGGACTATAACTCTCAGAAACAGCTGATGGTGAAGGCTTCTGGGAATCTCTTGTGGTTTTCTGCTAAACAGAAATCTGGGACAAATTCTCCATTTAAGGCAGAAAATCTGCTCTGCTCTTACAGGCACGGTCTGCTTTCAGCCATGCAACATACTGGGCCAAATCCAGCTCTGCTGATGGAAAGTTTCTATCAACAGGAGCACAATTTTCACTGATTTGCTCAGAGGTGGAAATGAGCGCTCCAACAGAAAAGGGAATGGCTGAAGAGCCTTGCATCACAGGAGGCATACATTCCACCACCACCCCATTCTAATCGGATTGTAGAAGAGCTAAGGATAACACAACTTGGAAATAAACAGTAGTGCCACGTAGCTTCAATCCAGCAGAATGGAGTCTGCCCAGGAGCCTTACAAGACATCCCTCTACAAATAGGATTGTGGCAACAGGTAATACTGGCCTTGACCCTTTGCCTCTCTATTATCAATACAATCTTGAAATCACCATATCCTTGTTACTAAAAAGAAAATAAACCCTGTGCAAGGAAAAGATACATACCAAGATGTCTAAGCAGGCAGCCTTAAGTAGTGTGATCTGGTCTGCAATCGTCAAACTTGTAAAGCCTGGCAAGCGTTTTGCAAACTCCACTATTTTAATAATGCATTTTGTAGCAAGTTCACTGAATTTGTCCCAAAGCCCGAGGTCCAGTCGTACTCTATGGTCTGCACTAGAGTTCTAAAAAAGAACAGAACAAATTAATAAATCAACAAGTTACTTTTGTGGAAAGTACTGTATCTGAATCCACATAAAATAGTACATAGCAGAGAAGTTCTAGAAATAGTTACTATTAAAAGTTTCAATGTAGGTAAGATTTGCTTCTGGAATGTCTTCACTCTTAACTTCAGCTGGTCTTCCAAAACCTCCTTGCATTCTTTTCTGTTGTGAAATATCACTATCACTATTGTCTTCACTCCATATAGTGTAATGGAGCCAGAGTACACAGCATGGAAGCCCCATGATTTTCTAAGTGGCAGGGACTGTGGCACTGTCTGCCATCTTCCTCAAGCTTGCTTCCCTGTTTTGAATTTAGCTGCTGTCCTCATATTATCTGAGAAAGCAATGAATGAAGTTTCACAAATATAATGTATCACTGAAATTGTTCCTTTTAGAACACCAATTATGTGAGTGGCTAGATGTTGAATGGGCTTTTAAGAGCCACTAGCTTTACAGAAAATATGTTCCTCGTTTATTGGCATGATAGCTGCTTGCATTTTTGGAGTCTCCTTGAGGATCTGGCTATTGGAACTGTCACAATGAACACAATACTTCTACATTCACTACAAGATCACTGTATACATGGAGAACCAGTCCCTGTACAGTCAGAACCTTGAAACCAAAGTAACTAGAAATTGAGTATTGGTTTTCATTTCTGGGAAAAGAATATCTTGAGAAGTACAGTTTCTACACAATGTGGATTCTTCCACATGCTCAAAGTTTCAACAAATTTAGCTTACCTTCCCTGTGGCTTGGCAAAGATTTTTTTTTAGTTCTGTCAGAAATTAATGTTATAAATAGAAATGCCATATGTTATACAGTTTTAAAATGACTGAAGGAAATCTCTCTCATGTCAATGTTTCTGTTTTGATCTACATATTGCTGAAACATACTGGGCAGTTTACAACATAATGATGCCAACAACACTTTGCCACCCACCTACCCACCCCCTGGCACCCTGGATACTCATTTTACTGACCTTGAGAGGATGGAAGGCTGAGTCAACCTTGAGACAGCTACCTGAACCTGTCAGGACTGAACTCAGGTCATGAGCAGAGTCTTGACTGCAGTACTGCAGTTTAACCACTATACCAAAGGGTTCAATGGGGTGTACACATAATAACTTGCAAACCACTGGGCCCATCAAGAAAACCTATTTCAGGATCTTTATTACTGCAATATGCAACAAAGTGCAACAAATCCAACCATTCTAGCTTCTAATTACTTCAAAGTAAGTAATGTCCTGCATACGAGAAAACTGTGCCTATAACATTAATTTTTGACAGAACTTGGGGGAAAAAACCTTTGCTGGGCCACATGGAAGATCAACCAACTTTGTGGTATTCCTAAACTTTGCCTGCATTTTGCCTAACATCAAATAGCTCCTAAATTACCCTGGGACACAGAGAAACTTTTTGACCGCAGTTCGCTGTGGGCTAAACCGCAGAAGCCTGTGCTGCAGGGTCAGAAGACCAAGCAGTCGTAAGATTGAATCCACGCGACGGAGTGAGCGCCCGTCGCTTGTCCCAGCTCCCACCAACCTAGCGGTTCGAAAGCATGCAAATGCGAGTAGATAAATAGGTACCATCTCGGTGGGAAGGTAAACAGCGTTCCGTGTCTAAATCACACTGGCCATGTGACCACGGAAAGACTGTCTTCGGACAAACGCTGGCTCTATGGCTTGAAGAGCGGGATGAGCGCCGCCCCCTAGAGTCGGACACGACTGGACAAAAAATTGGCAAGGGGAACCTTTACCTTTACCTTTTATCACTGTGGTCAAATAACAAACTGCAGCTGATTTGGAAAAAAAGGAACAAATGCCTGTGGAAATAAATCTTTGGCATTTAGTTCTGCTAGCAACTGGGGTGAAGAGGTACCTGTGTACCTGTAATCTGTACCTGAGAGCTGCAAGGTAGTCCAGTGTGAGGCCCCACCATTAGTCTGGCCACATCAGCCCTTTTCAAGAACTCAAGAAGAGGTTTAATCCAAACCGTTGAGCTGAGTGCAGGCTAGCCCTACCTCTCCACCCCCTGTTCCACCTCTTTCACATGGAGATTTAAACTTGAAAAGGGGAGCAGTCTTTGTCTGCAAGGTCTCTCTGTGCAATCAAATAACTTGAAAAATCAGGGTTCCCCACTGGGTTTCCTACACATGTTGTGGAAACACTTAATGCACTGGGGCGCTAGCCTGCCCTCTCTTTCTCTCTCTCCTCACGTTAAGTGTCCCTTTTATGGGACACTTAAAAAGGGCTCCAGAAATATCAAATGCTGAAAGCCCAGGAAATATCACACGACAGGGTGCTGGACCCAAAATCAGACTCTTTTTATAATGGGTCTGCAAGATGGACAGTCTGGGTGTTCTGAGGTCAGGGCTGGCACACGAGGGTGCCAGCTACAAACACCTAAGGGACAAAAACTGGGGGGGGGATCCAAAAGACTTTAGCAAAATGGAAATGAGTCTGGGAGACACAAACCTCTAATGAACAAAAGATATTACTGCAATATATTGTGGCAAGAGGGAGCAATTTTAAAAACCAAGAGAAAACCATGCATAGATCTTCTCAAAAGCCGTGACAGTGCTAATCCTCTGATAAACATAGGGCAAGAGTGTGTGCCTTTGGCCTGGACAGAACAATAATACAAGGCACAAGACGTTTTCTTGCAAACACTTCCTTTAGAAAGCACAAATTCCTTGGCAGCATTTCCTACACAAATTGTGTTAAGATAGATTCCCACTTTGAGACTTTGCTGGTTGATTGTGTTCTAGGACGCAGAGGCATAGAAGGGGTTAATAGATTTTGCTCCGCTCATTGAAATATTTCTTTCTTTCCTCTGTGAGTATGCATTCTTCAGATTTATTTTATATCATCCTCAAGGACCTTGGTAGAATACTCTATATATGGTGGAGGGGAATAAGATCAAGATGTGCAGTCATTCAGCTTGTAATTAAATTTAATAGGCAGTTTATCCAGTTCCAAAGAAAGATGGCAGTGTATTGGGCTGCACAAAGCAAAGCCTAGAGCAGGAAATCATTTTATAACAGAGTATCCATCTGGAAAGAAGATGTGGCATGAAACCACCTCGTATGAACAAGATCTTGACCAGAATCTTATAAGCTCGTTTTATCATGCTTCCGGCCACTCATGCAAGCAAAGCTGCTTTTCAGTGTCCAGAAGGCTTAACAAAATGCAAATATAATTTGACTGGTAGGCAAACAAAAACAAAGGAGGTAATCAATAAAGCACCAGGTGTACTTCTGGTTGCATTGCTAGTTACGTCACAGGAGAGACTTGGCTTGAAAACGATTCTGCCTGATCTTAAGAGGTCTGCGACCAGAAAGCATTTTAACATTTGGTCTGGTAACCAGCAATTAAACGTATAGCTGGAAACAAGCACATTTCAAGCCGTCTCCCTTAAGACTGAAAAATGAAATTGAGTCAGTATCGACATGAAGCCAAAAGTTGAAATATGGACTTAATATAAAAAGGCAGGTTACGAGTATATTAACTCCAGGATTCACTCTCTCCATGGGTTCTGAGAAGCATCAAACCGGAGGAGTTCAGCTGAATGTTTAACTGTGGCATAATTTTCCAGTGTCTTTTCCAAGAGCATTCATGCATGCAGCTTAAGGGCCATGCTTCCCATAATGCCGCAACTGAGTACATATGGTAGAATAATACTGTAATGCACCCTAGTGACATTTTTGTCAGCAGAAAGGCCCAATCATGCCATAAAATCCAATTACACAGCTATCTTTTATTTTATTTACTTAAATCTTTCATGTAAATTGACCCCCTTTGGTTCTCGCTTACAATCTGCATCTTTCCCCAAGAACGCAAGTTAAGACATTCACAGAGATATTGACATGGCTTAAAAAAATAGCAAACAACAACATCTTTCTGTCTCTTAAGTCCACTTCATCAGTTCAACAAGGATTCCAAATACCTGTTGCTGTATGATTTGGACCAGAGCGGGGTAAAAGTTACTTTTTTGGACTATAACTCCCGGAATCCTCTAGGTAGTGTGCAGAGGGTAATGTTTCTGAGCAGAATTCTGGGCATTCCTTCACCTGCTGTATGATGCACTAAACTGAATGCAGGCCTCCACCCAGGTTTCTCAGGGACTTGGTAACTTTCTTATTTTTCTAGCCTCCTTGGGGCTACAAACAGGAGTCTCAGTGTTGTGTAGTGCATAGGATCCCAAATTGTGCAGGCCAGGCTTAGAGTCAAGGGCAGTTTTGTTCTTTGCAAAAAGCAGCCATGGGATCCAAATATTTAGCACAGACTTCTGTGCCCGGATGAAGATGGACTTCATGAAGCCCAATCACAAGGCACAACCTAATAAACAATTAGACAGGTTTAAGTCTACTCACTGGAAAGACAGATCCTGAAGCTGAGACTCCAATACTTTGGCCATCTCATGAGAAGAGAAGACTCCTTGGAAAAGACCCTGATGTTGGGAAATTGTGAGGGCAAGAGAAGAAGGGGACGACAGAGGACGAGATGGTTGGACAGTGCTATTGAAGCTACCAACATGAATTTGACCAAACTCCAGGAAGACAGGAGGGCCTGGTGAGCTCTGGCCCATGGAGGCATGAAAAGTCGGACACGACTTAACGACTAAACAACAATTCTACTCAAATCAATAATTTGTGGTTATTTTTTTTAAAGCCTTACTATTTATGTCTAACTGCTTACATCCAGGAAAACCCTTTGGTTGAAACTTATTACTGCAAAATGTAAGGATAGTTCAGGTTTGTTGACTTCATTTTAAACAGGCTTTTAATAATTGCCTTTCTTTATAAAGTTTATCCTCCTTAAGAAAATGCCTAATACAGTGGACCCTCTACTTAAGGAATTAATCTGTTTTGGAATGGTGGCTGCAAGTCGAAAAGTCTGTAAGTCGAGCCGTCTGTAAGTCGAGGGTCCACTGTACATTTAAAATTTAAAACTGCCCAATCATTATGGACATCTCTTAAATGCTGTTTCAATAGGTGCTTTTAAGTTGCTGACTCTGGTTTTACTTGTCTTTAACACTGATATGCAGACCTGCTGTTTCAGTACTATTGTTTGTTTATATGATCCGATTGTTTTTAATTATTATAATTGTTAGCTTCTCAGTACTGAGCAGCTGGATATATTTATGTACACTGCAAGCAGGCAACCCTTTGCAAAGATTGTAGTATGAATTCATGTACAAATAAATAATAAACCTAAAATAGCACTTAGATATTACAATAAATATATTTATGTTCACATAGCTATGTTCATTTTCTTAAACCTTGGCAAATCTAACCAAGGCCATCAGATGGTAGTTCAAATGCTGAAAAAGCTGGGTAGAATCACTCACAATGCAGTAGGACACTGTGTTATTCAGGAGGATAGGTCCAAGGTGACACTGGTAAAGAAACTGGATGCCTTATTATCCATTCTGTGAATATCAGAATTGTTCCCTGTATTCCACCTCTAGCATGGCAGTGGCTACGTAGGCTATGGAAAATTGGAAGTTGTATTCTGTGTTGATTATGGAATAATACACTAATGCTTATGGATTAGCATCCTAATCCTTTGTGCCCCTTCCCCATAATTCCAGGGTCGTTTTCAATAGTGAATGAGTCAATTGTTCTTGCCTGTTCCTAACAAAAGAAGCAGCAGCCTGCTCCCATGAAGGAGGTGAATAACATACTCCATCCTAACATACTTGTTTGCATCTGTCTGATAAAGTATGAGATCAGTGTTTGTTTAATTAACCTTATATTTTTATAAGATCATTTGCTGATACCTTGCTCATCTCCGTTCTTCTTACATAATCTGGATCATAGTGGCTTCTCTTCCAGGATAGCTGTATGTAGCCTACACTTTTCGATGTGCACATCCTACCCTTCCAATGTTGCTGACATCATGGCATGCCTTGTTTCCCAGAAAAATCTTACTCACTGAAGTCTGTCACCAGCTCATTTCTACTCATTTCTTCTTCAAAGCCACTGAAAGCCTCTACGCAATGTGGCTCCTGAACTCCAGAACGTCCTCACCTTGAGTACAAAATGATCCACTTTGCTGCACTGGGTTGTATTATGAACTTCCAGGTCCTATCCAGATGAGTTAACCCCTGTGATTCTAACACAGCAGCCAACCATCATATTCTTGTTATATATATATGCAGGCAACAGCTCTATACAAGGCTCTTACCGTAGTGTATTTGCCCAGCTGGCAGAGTGAAGGGAATGTTTCCTGGTGAGATTTCCTTATTTTTTCTGTGAGATCATCCAACTCTGCTGTCATTTCATAGTTCTCCATGAACTCCTGCTTTAAAGGCTCCTTCTTCTTCTTGTTCCTGTCATTTCTGACAGCTGGAGGCAACAAAGGAGGCAGATCAAAAAGGGTTATTTAGACTAAGTGATGTGAAATCCAATAGTCCTTGATTACAGCAATAAACATTAAACAAGTCAAATATATGGGGAACACAGAAAGGAAATTAGTAATTTTGTTCAATATCATTTAACAACATTTGAGCCCACAAGATTAGCAGAGCTGGGCTATAAATCTCTTTCTTTGCAAGTAGCAAAGGAGTTCTCTTTCTATACAAGATGGGAGATTTCTTGGAAGTTTATTTATTGCAAAATGTACATTTTAATATTATAATGCCTCATATTTAGAAACACCCTCCACAAACATTTACAAATGTTGTTGAAATATGAAAGATCATCAAAGAGCATTAAAACAAATTAAAACAGAAGTAGAAACATGGAAAGTGTAATTGAACAATCCCTCAGAGCTCTTCACTGTGGACCTTTCAGAGTTTCAGGCTAGATTATTTCCTGCCTTAGCTGGAAATACCAGGAATTGAACCAAGCAAAGTAGGTTTTCCACCAACAAGTATCACATCCCCTAAACGAAACAAAACGAAATGAAATGAAACTACAAGTCATTGCTCATAGTCACTTTTCAGCAAACACACTTTCCTACTGACAAGTGATCTTGACAAGCAAAAACACTCAGGGAAGAATATATTCCAGAAACTAAACTAGGAACACTGCCACAAGACTAGGCACTGCTACAAAAAGTATGGGGAATACACTTTTGGGAGAAAGCCTGTTGTCCAGTTTTGAATGACATCTGCAACAATTTCTTTCTTCTCCCTTTTCTACAAATAACACAGATATGATTATTATTATTACTACACACACTACACTACATGATTGATAGCATAAGGTATGGTGGAAGGCATGGCCACACCCTTTTCAATCTCTAGTGTTTCTATGGCATTATTCAATTTATTGCTATTTTGGACACAAGGTGCTTCCTTCAAACAGCTTTTTTCCCTTGCTTCTCCCTCTCTGGATTTTGCAATTAATCTCAGTTTCCACTCTTCACTCTAAGAACTTAATTTTCTTTCATTGTTATTGTTAATTTCCCTAAGTATACAGCACTTGCACCCTGAAAGCAGCTGCTCAAAGCAGTTTATAAAAGATAAACACATTTAAGCAACCATTTAAAATAGAACAGCTATAAAGAATGGGAAGAAGGTGAAGGATGAGCTGGAATTAAACAACAGTTTGGCCTGCCCATACCAGGAATGGACACAGATGTCACACCATCAAGAACTAGGCAAAAGCAGAAAGAATGGGAAGAAGGTGAAGGATGAGCTAGAATTAAACAACAGTTTGGCCTGCCCACTGATGACAACTGATGCTGGAACATATAACAGTGGCCAAATTCCTCTCTGGAGAAAACTGACATGCAAAAATTATACAGTGGTTCCCAATCATCCATTTCCTAGGTGAGTCTGGTGAAAGTGGTGGGGATGGGGAAGGTTTCCATGACTGCTTTCACAAGATTGTACAATTCCGGCCAAAAGGATCCAGGAAGACTGCACAGGAAACAAATCTTTCTTTTTTTAAAAAAGGAGAATGCAACACCATCCACAATAGACTAACCTTACCAGCTGCTCACAGTCTGAGAAGGACTTGTCATAGCTAACACTCCTCCCAAATATCTCCCAATCAATAAGCTCCTGTACCACTTCATTCCAGCCACAAATAGATTATTTTATTCAGAATAATGGGAAAAATGTTTTCAGATGGGACAAGGTGGTTGTTGTTATGTGCCATCAAGTTCTCTCTCTCTCTCTCTCTATGAATGAGCTATCTCCAAAATGTCCTGTCTTCAACAGCCCTGCCTTTCCAAATCTGTTGTCTCCTTCCATTTGCATCAAAGGTAACCTCTCAAGTGAATATTTTACACTCATTACAATCCATCTTTGGCAATGTTCACAGCACCCCTTTGAAACATCTGACACATAAGTAGCTTCCACTTAGAAACTGCAGATATACATATTGAGTATGTATATCTGCATGGTTGCTATTTCCATTTCTATAGATACTCCCTTCTGAACAACTAACACCATATTAACACCAAAACCTCAGACTTACGATATCTGAGAGACAAAGACTGAGTGAACCAAGAGATTCTGCAGATGACATTCTATGCATGATCGGCAGAGATAATATATGCATGGACTGAGGCACCCTAGGAGATAAACTAATGTCACTGGACGGCAAGCTAAAGGGAGTCGCAATGCAAAAAACATTAGGGCTGATGAAGTTCTACTACACTACCTGACAATACGTGCATGGCCATCAGAAGTCAGCTACAATTTCTTACAGACCAGCTACCCAAATCTGCAACAAACTCCAAAACATAATGTTACTGAAACAATATTGGGTCAATTTCCAAGTACTGTACTTTGCAATATGATAAACAAGATATTTTAATCAGCCCCATGGAAATTAAGCATGAACATTTGTGCATTTCTGTACAGAGTGCCACCAACAATGTGCTGATTTAGGTTGAGACTACAATGCCATATAATTTGGGAAATGCTGCGGGACTGGGATATTCTGATTCACATTTTTTCCTACTGACCTCACGGTGTCGAAGCAAATGTGAATCAGCCTAGAATCCCCTCCACACCTCCAATTCATATTTCCTCCCCCCCCCATCCACTGTTTTTGTTTAAAAAAACAGACCCATTCACATTGGTTCAAGTGGTGTGATTGCTTGAATCGATGCAGAAAGTGTGATCCTGCCCAGACTTTGTTTTCTGCCTATCACTTCCAGGCAGAAGAATGCCATTTCTTTTCTTCTTCTTTGTTTTAATATCTTGTTGCCAGCTCTGTTGTGCCAGGGCACCTAGACACCAAAAGAATGTGGGACTATTTGCCAGCTCTTAGTACAACCTACCTCACAGGGATGTTGTGAGAATGAAATAGTGAATGGAAGGACAGTCTGGGGCATGTACCAGGACACTGTCATGTGTTCCTTCGAGGAAGTGTGGTAAGTTATGGAAGAAGGGGTGTCCTCTTTACTTAGGCTCCCTTACAGTATGGATTGAGGACTTGGGACTACGCGAAAGGCTTTATACAAAAGAAGGGTTTGAAGGAGGAGGGGTGGTGTCATGTAGGTTCAGAGGAAGGAGGTTCAGATCTAATTACCATAGACTTTGGTAGAGGGGCATATTGTATAGCGTTTAGAGACAACAGAGAACTACAATTAGCTCCTGAGGTTTAAGACCAGGGAATGGGGGGACGGATAAGTAGAGGTGGGGATATAGTAGGAGGGAACAATGGAGCTAATTTAGAGGGCTGTCTGTCTGTCTGTCTGTCTGTCTGTCTGTCTGTCTGTCTGTCTGTCTGTCTGTCTGTCTTTCTATCTATCTATCTATCTATCTATCTATCTATCTATCTATCTATCTATCTATCTATCTATCTATCTATCTATCTATCTATCTATCTATCTATCTATCTAGCTTGTTGAAACATAAACGCCAGGGATCAAGAAACCAGTTTCCTGCTTCCCAGGCTTCCAAGAGCAAAAAATAAAAAATCTTTGGGTGGGGGGGATTATTTTGTGAAGGGAAGATCCTAGATGATCTCAAGAGAAAAAAAAAGTTGAAGAGCACACGATTCCCATTCCTAGTCCATGGCACTCTGGAACACCTTTAAAACTGTATATTTAAAACACTCCCATTGAACTCAGCAAAGTCAACTGCCTACCTCACACCGCACATCCCACTCTTGTACACTCAGCCAGAAGAGAGTATTAGATTCCAGTTAACTAAGCAGTTAGCTACTGGATCCTACCAAGACAGTGATAAACTACAGGGCACATGTCAGCACATATCAGCATGCTTAGGTAACAACTAGGGACCTAGCACCAAGTATTAATGGCACTGCTCCTCCTCCTTCCTAATATGGGTGGTTTCATTTGTGAGCCACCTATCATTTTCACTATGCAGGATGTCTTCAGTCCTCGCAAATGATGCTATGCTGGGAGCATTGTGCATTATGTCATTGTGATTGTGTCTGTCCACTGCAGATCATACCATTGCTGCTCCTGCAGCTGTCACCCGCAGGAAAAACCCTGTCAGGCCCACCAACATCACTGGGAAGTAGCACTAGAGGAAACTTCACCAGGGGTCTTCTAAAACCTGGGATCAGCCCTGTGGAGTTCCAATCAGTGAACAAGGCAATCTGCTCAATAGTCATTGTCACCACTGATCAGAATACACAATTTTCATCTTTACATGGAGCATAACAAACAAAAATAGCAGACAAACTTCCAGCAAAACTCACTTAAATTGACAACTAATATTATACATTATAATTACTTGACAGAGACCTCCAAATATACATCATCTGGAGGAACTGCCATGGGAAGCTCTGCTGAGTCAAGCGAGAGGTAACATAGATAACACCACTTTCTCCATAAAAAGCATCCAGTCATTAGATTGGTGGTGAGGGTCCTGTGGTCTTCCCATTTTTTCTGGATTCCAATTTCAACAAGTCTGCCAAATAATCTAGAATTATGGGGTCTGTAGTCCAATAACATTTATAAGGCCACAGGCTCCCTCCTCCAGCAGTAGGTTTATCTATTACAGTGGGGTCTTGACTTATGAATGGCTCGACATACGAACGTTTCGACTTACGAACCGCTCTTATAGGAATATATGGACTCGACTTGCAAACTTAGATTCAAGTTACGAACTCTTTTTTTACTTTTTTTAAAAGCTAAGTTATCTTAGGTTAAAAGGAAAAAAGAAAAAATATCCCCCTCTAGTGGCAGAAGGCGGAATAGCAGCTTCCCATTCGTTTCTATGGACGAAAAGAGCAGATACGGATTAAATGGTTTTCAATGCATTCCTATGGGAAATGAAGATTCGACTTACGAACTTTTCGACCTGAGAACTGCCTTCCAATACGGATTAAGTTCGTAAGTCGAGACCCCACTGTACAGACAATACTGTCCCATTGGTTCCTTTTCTTCCACGCAAATGTGAGCAGCCACCACA